AAGAATTTCACTCTACTCCTCATGCTGGTCATTCTGGTTTTTATAGGACATATAGAAGATTGACCTCTAATTTATTTTGGAAGGGCATGAAAGAAGATGTTAAACGGTTTGTGCAAGCTTGTGATATTTTCCAACATCAAAAGTATAATGCTACCTCGCCTGGAGGCTTGCTGCAACCTCTTCCTATACCATAGCAAGTTTGGGAGGATATATCAATTGATTTTATCAGGGTTGCCACATTCAAAGGGCTATGAAGCTATTCTAGTTGTCGTAGATAGATTGACCAAATATAACCACTTTGTACCATTGAAACATCCCTACACTACTAAAGGAATTGCTGAGATTTTTGTAAAGGAAGTAGTGAGGCTTCATGGGGTTCCAAAATCTATTGTGAGTGATAGAGATCCCTTATTCATGAGTTTATTTTGGAAAGAATTTTTTAAACCGCAGGGAACACTGCTCATGACAAGCACAACTTACCATCCACAAACTGATGGTCAAACTGAAGTTACAAATAGGTGTCTCAAAACCTATTTGCGTTGTTTCATCACTAACCAACCTCAAAATTGGTTTTTTTGGGTGTCATGGGCAAAATTTTGGTTTAACACAACTTACCATGAGTCTATAGGTACTACTCCATTTGAGGCATTGTACAGACGTGAGCCTCCAAAAATAATACAATGTATTCCCGGGGAAGTGAGGGTGGAGTCAGCTCAAAAAGAATTAATTGATCGTGATGAAGCATTGAGACATTTAAAAACACATTTGCTACGAGCCCAAGATCGCATGAAAACGCAGGTTGATAAGCACAGACAAGAAAGGGTGTTTGAAATTGGTGACATGGTATTTTTGAAACTCAACACAACATAGACAACATTCTGGAATGGCTAGAATTAATCCTAAACTTAATGCTCGCTATTATGGCTTGTTTAAAATTCTGGAAAAAATTGGAGAAGTGGCCTACAAGTTCCAACTCCCCTCCACTTCAAGGATCCGTCTTGTGTTTCATGTGTCCTTCCTCAGGAAAGTAGTGGAGAATTATGAGGTAGCAAATGAATTACTTACGAGGCTAGAAGATGATAAAGGGGAATTCTTAGAGTTTGAAGCTGTTTTAGCCTCTAGACATATGCTCAAGCATGGCGAGCGACTGAAGCAATGGTTGATCCAATGGAAAGGGAAGTCCACTGAAGATGCAACATGGGAAGATGAAATTACAATATGCAGCCAATTCCCTTTTCTATGTCTTGAGGACAAGACAAATGCTCAAGAGGAAGGCATTAAAAGGGTGATGGAGTCATGGTTGGTAGTTAAAGGATATTTTGAAGTATTTTGCCTTTTGTTATCCTTAGGGTTATTTAGTATCAGAATGGAGAGAGAGGAAAGGGGGATCTTTTTTTGTTATCACTCATTACTCATTGAGGTAAAAGAGACTTATCTTGAGAGGTGATTCTAAGGAGCTTGGCTGTGGACAGATTGGGTAACCATTCTCGTCTGTTTTTTTCTTGATCTTTTGTTTTTTTTAGTTCAAGATCCCTGTTTCATTCGGTTTCTAGTATATATATTATCCTCTATTTTTTGGATTAATCTCTCCTCATTGTAATACAATGCATCTCCATACCATATGTTTCATCCTTCTACCTCTTAGCGCCGACCACCGTGCGTTACCGCCGGAGGCAATTTCCGGCAGCGACCTTCAAAATTTTCTTTTGTCACGCCGCCTCCTCCCGCTCCTCCCCACTCTCCATAATAACCGACGACCCCATCTTCCCTCACACCAAAATCCATCGACTCCAGAAGCCCTCAAAAGCTTGTACCATTCTTTACTCAAATTGCAAGCCTATTCTCGAACACCTTAACATCATTCTCGAGACCCTCGTTTCCCATTGCAACAACACTGTCTTCCCCATTGATCTCTTCAAGGATGCTCACAACAAAGTACAATGTGAAACCTGACACTAACTCCAGCATCATTCTCACGTGTGCGTTTTGTCTCAACAGGGACCTTGGTATTACCTATTCATTGTAATGACGCACTTTCCCACCACCATTTCGTCCCGTACTTTAGGGTTAGATTTTTCCTTTTAATTGCTTTTATTGCCGTCAATGTAAAGCAAAATATTTTACTTCCAACTTCCATGGTTAGATCATATGGCAAAGGAATTTCTGATAAGCTGCATTGTCTCAAACCGTAAGCAATAATTGCATCAAAATGCTTCTTATTACTAGACAAAGCCAGATGGTGCCAATGTATACCCGAAATTACTCTCAATTATCTTGCATGAATTGGTTCTGCGGTAGAAAAACAAGATTCCCCAAATTTACATGCAACTGGAATCAGGGTATACGGTGAAATCAAAATTAGGAAGAATTTGATTGGAGGGTGCAGCAGATAAATGAGATTTTACAAAAGGGGGATCAGAAATGAGGGAGAGCCATGATTTACAAACACATTTGAAGCGCAATAGAGATTTGATAGGCAACCTCGGTAAATTTTCTACTGTCAAGTCATGAGAGAGAGTGTAGTTCATTTTCTTCTTCCTTGAAGTGGCATACAGAAGAGAAAGATCATGATTATATGTAAGACAATTATTTAGCTTTTAAGAAAGAAGAAGAGATCATTTTGGCCTTTGTTAACAGATAACTGATATTTTCACAATCACAAATCATATCACTTTTCAAACAACTCATTTTTATTAATATAATAATCTATAGACTGATTTAATAAAAATAAAAATAAAATAAAATTATTATTATAATATTAAAACAGAGTTGTTTACATGAGTGGTATGGATCTCATTTTTATTAATATAATAATCTATAGATTGATTTAATAAAAATAAAAATAAAAAAAAATTATTATTATAATATTAAAACAGAGTTGTTTACATGAGTAGTATGAATTTGGGTTGTTATAATTTTCCTTGTTAATAATGTTGCTATTTGTGAAATCATATTTTGGTTGGTAGCAAGCAAGTGGCAATTTCATGTCCTAGCTTTGAGGGTTATTATTATGCCTTTTGTAGTTTGGTATTTTGGATTTACACTTCTTTTTCACCTTTTCTAGAATGATTTTAATTGCCGGCATATGGATTATCACTTGTGCTTTTTAATAAAAATAAATAAACTAATTGAGATAATTCGAAATTCATACATACTATCATACCTAAGAATTACTAACACTGAAGTGGAATTAGTTGAGAAAGATTTTGAATTTGAATATTATAGATGGATTAAAATATGGTTGAGAATGTTGACATTATTTAAAGTAGAGTGGTCTCACATGATTAATTATAGCAGCCATGGTGTGATTTATTCGTAGTTATCTTACATTTACGCATGTTGTTTTACTTTCATTATTCTCTTTTCTCTTTTTCCATCCCCACTGATTCAAACGAACGAACCCAAATGTTTGTCAAATTGAATTTACGAACTTATTTTATTATTGCTTTGTACCTTTATTTATTTTATTTTACTTTTCCTAATATATTTTTTTATCTAATCTCTAAATTAAAATAATAATAATAATAATAATAATATGGTTTATGATGTCCAATTTCCTTGAACAATATATTTAGATCTGAGTTTAGGTTTTGGGAAAAATAGTTATAAAAAGAGATATGTAACAATATTTTAGATTTGTGTTTTGATTATGGAAAAAAGTAGTTAAAAGAGGTATATAATAAAGACAATGTATACTTATACCAATAATACAGTTAAAAAAGTGTTTAAAATATTTTAATTTAGATTTCTAAACATGATTTGTACTATTAATCAAATCTTTATCATTAATTTTTTTCTTAATGCAAGCACCTATTTAAAAAAACAAATAAAATTGAAAGATCTAACTTGAGTTTGGATTTAGAATTTCACAATTTTTAAAATATCCACCTACATTATCATCTTTTTCATTTAAAAAAATATTTTGATAAAATATTTTAAATTATTGAATTCCATCTGAATAAAGTATTTTAATCACCATCAAATGAAATAATTTATTAAAATAATAATATTTAATAATTTAAAAATATATTTGATATATTTTTAATTAATGTTATTTTCCTCATCAAACTTATAAATATTTTTCTATTAATGTTTTTAGATAATATTTATCGTGCAAATATTTTTGCTAACTTTTTAATTGATATAGGCGAAAAAAATTATGTAATTTACATTTAAAAAAATCATACTCAAAACTGACATAAAGAAAGTAATATTAAAAAATATTTTTCCATTGGACAAAAATTAACATTAGATTGAAAAAAAAATCCCTGTTAACATTGATTGATAATAAAAAAATTAACATCAGGAAAATAATATCTCCAAAATTATCAATAAAACACTCACAAATGTTAATAGAAAATTATCCAAAATTTTTGAATTCTACTTAATTACCGTGTTATTTCATTGGATTAATTTTGCATGGTGGTGGTGGTAGAACCAATTCAACATATGACCCGACCCAGTTGCATTGTGGGGATCCGGTTTTAATGGAAAAGACCCTTTGAAATATCTAACATAACTCGTTGAATTCATATGCCCTGTGGTCCAGTGAGTATCTGCAACAACAACAACGAGACCACTTCACTATAACCACTCTCACCATTACTCTCACAACTATCGCCTCTGGTATGTTTTTGTGGAAATATTGTATCAGGTTATGTGTATTCATTACACAATTAGGTGCACTATATATTTATTCTTTTAATAAACACTGAAATGGTGTTACAAAGTAGAACATAGGCAACCTAGGAATCCTATTTGTTGTTCCTGAGTAACAACTGGGATGTGCTATAGAGCTTATTGGTTACCTCCTGCATTTTAAGAGGTCATATTATTTTCAAAATTTGTGTTGTTTACGGTTTCTTGCTTAATGTTACTTACAGAATGACATTGCTTCGGAAGCTTTTGTAATGACAAATTCAAACCATTGAACTTGTTCCTTTCAAGCAGAAACACTGACGAAGCTTCTTAGGTGAACAGCGGCATCAAAATATTGTCTGATGTGGGTGCTTCAGATTCCCCAAATTGTCAGACATACTCCATCTCAAACCCATCCGTGCTACACTTCCCGTGCCCATTCAAGACTGCCGGTCACTTTTCTTTCATTGAGCCCTTCAAACAACCCCATCAAAGACATAAAGAACAACAACAACCAGTTGATACAGTCATTATGCAAAGGAGGGAACCTTAAGCAGGCAATTCATCTTCTGTGTAGTGAGCCTAATCCAACCCAGCAGACTTTTGAGCATTTAATATATTCGTGTGCTCAGCAGAAGTCTCTCTCCGATGGACTTGACATTCATCGCCATCTTGCCAATAGGGGTTTTGACCAAGACCCGTTTTTAGCTACTAAACTTATCAATATGTACTATGAACTCGGGTCTATTGACCTTGCTCGCAAGGTATTTGAAGAAACGCGGGAAAGAACCATATATGTTTGGAATGCACTCTTCCGAGCACTGGCAATGGTGGGTCGTGGTGAGGAGCTGCTAGATTTGTATGTTCAGATGAATTGGATTGGAGTCCCATCCGATAGGTTCACCTACACGTACGTGCTTAAGGCTTGCGTTGTTTCAGAGCTTTCAGTCTTCCCTCTCCAGAAGGGTAAGGAGATTCATGCCCATATTCTACGACATGGCTATGAAGCAAACATTCATGCTATGACAACTCTGTTAGATGTGTATGCCAAGTTTGGCAGTGTGTCCTATGCAAATTCCGTGTTTTGTGCAATGCCTACCAAGAACTTTGTCTCATGGAGCGCTATGATTGCTTGTTTTGCGAAGAATGATATGCCTATGAAAGCACTTGAACTGTTTCAGTTAATGATGCTTGAGGCATGTGATTCAGTTCCAAATTCAGTTACAATGGTTAGCGTACTTCAAGCTTGTGCAGGCCTTGCTGCATTGGAACAAGGGAAGTTGATTCATAGCTATATCCTTAGAAGGGGTCTTGATTCTATACTGCCAGTTCTTAGCGCGCTGATAACAATGTATGGAAAATGTGGTGAGATTTCAATGGGACAAAGGGTGTTTGATAACATGAAGAATCGTGATGTTGTTTCATGGAATTCTTTGATTTCTAATTATGGTATGCATGGTTTCGGAAAGAAAGCAATCCAAATTTTTGAAAACATGATCCACCAAGGAATTTCTCCGAGTTATATATCATTCATTACTGTTCTGGGTGCTTGCAGTCATGCGGGCCTTGTTGAGGAGGGAAAGATTTTATTTGAATCCATGCTTAGTAAGTACAGGATCCATCCTGGTATGGAGCATTATGCTTGCATGGTGGATCTTCTTGGCCGAGCTAACAGGTTAGATGAAGCAATCAAACTAATAGAGGATATGCATTTTGAACCCGGACCAACAGTTTGGGGTTCCCTTCTTGGCTCTTGTAGGATTCACTGTAATGTTGAACTTGCCGAGCGAGCAAGTACTATGCTTTTCGAGTTGGAGCCTAAGAATGCTGGAAATTATGTGCTTTTAGCCGATGTTTATGCAGAAGCTAAGATGTGGAGTGAAGCAAAGAGCGTGATGAAGCAACTGGAAGCTCGTGGCCTTCAAAAGCTTCCAGGTTGCAGCTGGATTGAAGTGAAAAGGAAGGTATACTCGTTTGTCTCTGTTGACGAGCATAACCCACAAATTGAAGAGATTCAGGCTTTGCTAGTTAAGCTGTCAACTGAGATGAAGGAGAAGGGTTATGTCCCACAGACAAACGTTGTTCTCTATGATCTTGATGAAGAAGAGAAAGAAAGAATTTTATTGGGACATAGCGAGAAGCTTGCAGTTGCCTTTGGACTCATTAATACTGCAAAAGGGGAAACCATAAGGATCAGAAAAAACTTGAGATTGTGTGAAGACTGTCATGCTGTTACGAAATTTATTTCAAAATTTGCTAATAGAGAGATTCTTGTTAGAGATGTGAATCGCTTCCATCATTTTAGAGATGGAGTTTGTTCGTGTGGTGACTATTGGTAACTTTTGGCAGAAGGTCACTGTTAAAATGCTCAAGAAAGTAATTCTAATTTAGTGGCTGAGAATGAATGATATTATGGCTTCAAACCCTACCAGTTCCAGTTCTGGTGTAGATTTGTTATCTTTTTTAAATGAGCTGGAATTCAAGTTTTATTTAAAACATCACGCCCATCTAATTTCTATGCTATAGATTCATGATTTGAACTAAATGCATACAAATAGTTGATTAATAATTTTAACCTTTTAAAGCCGAAAGAGCTTATGCTTATTTTTTTTCTCTGGGAGATGAGAGATATATCTCTAGCTAGCATGGATTGTATGGTATGCTGGGGAATATGCTGTGCCACCCAAGTTGGTATAAAGCATTCCAGAGGTCTAAAGGAATAGTGGTAGGGTAGTACCGATACTTCTTTGCCTATACTTCGTGGCGGTAAGAACCACAAAATTGCTTATGCATAATAGTTAGCCCAAATAAAGTCTTACTGGCATTTTACCTTTTTTCTCCTTTCAATATATATGATATTTATTTAAAATTTTCAAAATCGTAAAATGAGTTTATTATCTACTGACAAGGACTTGCTACCACAATAGGCAGAACAGCATAATGTCGTATACAGGTTCCAAAAGGACCGTATTCTGTTTCTTCACAAACCATTGACATCGATCAAGGTATCTCTAACATTTACCGGGAATTGTGGGGCCTGCAGGCATTAACAGACAGGGGAAAGATTGATTATAACTTTCAAGCTAGCTGTGTTGCTTATTTTATGTAGAGCTTTAAAATGATCCAATTTGCATTCTTTGTCTGGAACGTATATTTGCTAGTTATTAAAAAGGAAGTACATACAGTTTCAGCTATTGGAATTGTTTTAATCCTTTTCTTCGTCATCTTTGCACATTGTACTAAAATATTTTCAACCTACTTATGCTGACATGACTGAACATAACTGATCACCTACACTCACAATCACAGAAAATTTGGAAGCGATGGCCTTCTTTTGGGCGATGCCTTAGATCTTTTGGGGATTTTCTTGATTGCATGATTGGTGAGAGGAGCCGCAGGAGTTGAAAGGATCTGTTTTCTGACTTTCTGTCAGAGGAAAGTATTTAAATACAGACTTATTTGATCTGGCTTGTTTAATTAACAGGATATACAAATTTATGAGTTGCCTTGCACACTAATTATTTTTCCAAAAACATTTTTTATTATTTTATATTTTTATTGGTATATTTAAATAATTATTACGTGAATCAATTTTTTAAATAATATATTTAAAATGAAAAATTACTTAAACAGAATCTCTCAAAATTTATTTACCAAACTAGATCGATTTCCTATTTATAAATAAAATTTAATAGAAAATAAATTCTTCGGATATAATACAGCTATTTTACTCTTTTTTTTCTTATTTATTTTTTTATTATTTTTTCTATCTTTCTATTTATTTTTTCTATTTGTTTTTTGTTTTGTTTTTTCTGTCACTTATCTTATTTTTTTAATTAAAAATATTAAATTAAAATTTAATAAAATATTTTTTTATATTTTAAAAAATAAAAATATTTTAATTATCTAAAAATATTATAATTTAATATATTATATTTTAAAAAATATTATAATGTGAATTTGAGGTAATATAAATTATCATATTATAATTATTATAAGTAAATATATATATATATATATTTTAAATAAATATTAAAAAAAATCAATTAATTATTTAAAATTATAATGACAATAAACAATTTTATTTATTGTAACAATAAATAATTTTATTTATGATAATATAAATAATTAATTTAAATTATTTTATCATAATAAATTAATTATTCGTCTAATTAAAACATATCAAATATTTATGAATGAAAATGTTTTTTATTTAACAATTTAATCTACTTATAATTAGGTTGAATTATGAAGATTAATTATATTAAAAAGTTACTTTAAAATAATTATTTAATATTTCTTAATAATTATAACATAATAATTTGTAATACTTCAAATTTATAATATAATATTTTTTTAAATTATAATATTTTTAGATAATTTAAATATTTTTATTTTTTAAAATAATAAAACTTATTTTTATTAAATTTTAGTTTAATATTTTTAATTAGAAGAGTAAGATAAGTGAGAAAATAATAAAAGAGGTTGTGAGAAAAAGTAAAATAAGTACTAAAATAAAAAAAATAAGAAAAAATAGATAAAGATAAATAAATAAAAATATAAACCTAAAAAATTTTATATTAAATATATTATTTAAGATATTAATTCCCTTTATGTTTGATTGATATATATATTGATATTTGAAATTGGTATATATTGATTTTTTTTTAATCTATGTACTTTCTTCTCGTAAAAAAATTTAGAAATACTGTTGTAAATCTTCATGTAGTTTGTTGAACTACTATATTTAATGGATAAAAGAGATGGACTCCGGAGTAGGCATGGCAAGGGGACGGGTTTTGCCTCTCCGATCCTCGTGCTCAACTTTTTTAGTCATTGATTTTTATCGGGTTAAAAATTAAGTCTTCATCTTTGTCCCCATTGAGTTTCGGGTTCCTCGTCCCAGTCTCGTCCCCGATCTATATTATTTTAAAAGAATAATTACATTTATAATAAATTAATTTTATCATGTATTTTTTATAGATAAATAAATATTTATAATTTTATTTATAATTGTTATTAATTAAATATACATTTTAATTTATTATATTTATATTAAAATATATATGTAAAAAAATATTTAATTATTTTTTATTTATATATAGAGAGAATATTTATAATATTATTATTATTATACTATTCAAATATTTGAATACTTATAATATTATTATTATAATACTGTATTCAAACATTTAATTATATATATTCATTTTTAAGTTGTCATTTAAAAATATGAAATATATAATTTATAAGAAAATATTTAATAAGTTAATTCTTATTTAATTAGTTTGAAGTAATAAAAGTTTAAATTATCAATTTCTTTTAATCCTTTAAAATATAATTATTTTATTGAGATAAAATTTGATATATGATAAATAAGAATAATAAGATAAAAAAATATGACATAATAAAACCTAATAAATATAAATTATAAATAAAATAATGTTAGTTACTATTAGGATTTATATAAAATATTTTAAAAAAATAAAGAAATTTTTTTTACTTTGTGTTCATCAAATTGATTGAAAAGATAAAAAAAAATGATGGGAGAAATTAAGGAAATGTAAAAAACAGAAAGGTAAGAGAGAGAATAATGTAATAAATTAATTGATATAAAAAATTAAAAAAGACAAATAAATTAAAAATGGGTAGAAGAAAAATAAAAATTGATGAAATATAAAAAAATAACCTTATATGTAATAGAAAAAAAAAGAAAATACATTTAAAGTATTAATATTTTAAATTTAAATATAAAGTCGGACGGGGATGGAGTCGGGGTGGAGATTACGTCCCGACTTTTAAAGCGGAAACCCGAACCCATCCCCGGTCAACTTGAATTTCTCTGTCAAATCGAAATGGGAACGGGTAGGTCACCTCATCCGTGTGCTATAGAGTGTTCGGTTATCCGATGCCACACTTTCAAATACGGAGGAAGAGATTAGATGAAATTAATAAAAAAATTCAAATAAATTTGAGTAAAATAAAGAATAATATAATAAAATCTCTATTCCATCGTTACCATAAAATTATAAAATAAACAAAATTCTTATTTCACGTCGTTGTTTCTAAATTAAAAAAAATGATTTTATTTTTACAAATATCATAAAATATAATAAATTTATTTATTTTTTAATCTATTATAATTTTATTTTACAAGGTCTCTAAGTTAAAAAAAAATTATTAATCTTGATTATTAAATAATACGACAATTATAAGTTTATAAAAAAAAATTATTCATGCAAAAATTGTTACATCTTCCGATATTTATACTTTTGTATTTTAAATAGAAAATTATATGTTGACCATTAAATAAATTTTAGTACATTAATAAATCCTCGATTTAGTAAAAATTACATTTAAAAACAAATGATAAATTTAAATGTATAGGAATTAAATATTATTATTTATTATTATCATCCAATCATTATTCCATGTTTAATGTAACTTTGTTAACAATAATAATCATTAAACTCAAAATCAAATTATAATGTTTTTTTTAATATAAAATTTATATTAAAACACAATAAAATTAATCCTAAAAACAATAAAACCCTAACCCTGTTGTCGAAGGTCAAAACAAAACCCTTTGTGTTTGGTTTGCGGTGAAGCTCCTCCGAAACAGAGAAGCATCTTCTACTTCCATTGCTCAAAAGCCAGTCTCTCTTCCATTGATTCTTCGATTGTTATTCCACTGAGTGACATTGAAGTCTCTTGCTATACGAACTGTGCTTCCAACGAAGGATGGAAGTTGTTTTGGCGTCGTCGTCTGTTGACGGCGGCATAGGGTGCTGGGACCTTCACACCGGCGCGGAGCAGCTCCGCTACAAATCTTGCTCCTCGCCTTCTCACGGCCTCGTCGCTGTAGGTCCTCGCTTTATCGCCTCCTCTCAGCTTCGAGAACCTTCCGCAACATCCGGTTCTGTTCTCTTCTGGTCTTGGTCCAAGGTTAATCCTTTTTCTTATTATTGTTCTTTAACATTTTCTTATATGATGAAAATTTGTTAATAATAATGAATGAATAAATTAATGATGACATTGTCACTTGCTCGATGCGCATGCAGCCTCAAGTTGAAGTGAAGAGCTTCCCCGCTGAACCCATTAAGCCCCTTGCCTCTAATCACCCTGGAACCTTCATAGCGGGTGGAGCATTGTCTGGTGACATTTACTTGTGGGAAGTAAGTGTGATCCATTATTTTTTTCAAGAAGAGACCGGTGTAGAGTTATTTTATTTTTTTTCAAAAGAAGGTTAGTCTAAAGGATTGGCTGCTTCAAAGTGAAAAATTCACTTTAAGGGTAAAGAAAGACGTGTTAGTGAAAAAATAATAGTCAATGGTACGCACACATTAATAATTATGCATGTGTTGGAATATTAACCGTCTGGTTTTCTCATAAATTATTCGAATTACTTACTTTACCCTTACTTAAGAGGAATCAAATCTAACCTAAACATGTACTGAAGTTTTTCTGGTGTTAGGTTGTGGAGAATTATGAATTGAAAGTGGGAACTTATTTTATACCTGTTTCAGTTTACTGTAACATGCTGAGTTATTTCCATTGCTTGTAAGGTTGGAACCGGTAGATTGCTTAAGAAGTGGCGTGCACATTTCAGGGCAGTTACTTGTTTGGTTTTTTCTGAAGATGACTCGCTGTTGGTATCTGGCTCAGAAGATGGAACCGTAAGACTTTGGTCTCTCTTCATGTACTTTTCTCTCCCTTTATATGTTTTCCTTCCCGTTGTAGTTGTGATTTTTCCTTTTAGGATAGTGTACATACTGGATGCTAGCAGTGCTAACTATTTTGGCATTTTGTGGTTCAGGATATTTGATGATTATAGAGGTCAGCAAGCAAATAATCTTTATGAGTATAGTTTTTCAGAGCACACCCTGCGTGTGACTGATGTTGTGATTGGTAATGGAGGATGCAATGCAATTATTGTGTCAGCTTCAGAGGATCGAACTTGCAAGGTTTGTTTTACTGTCTTTGTGTGATTTTGGTCTAGTAAAAAATGGATAATCAATGAAGTATGTTTATTCAAGAATTATATATACTATTGCCAGCTTGAATTGTCTATCACTACTATTTGTAAACTTTAAGAGGTTATGTTTATCAAGATGACTTATATATGAATAATGCTTTTTGATATGGGTGGAAGTCAGCTGTTCTAGTTTTTTAGATGACAAGGGTATTGTTGTCAAAAGTGAAATTTTGGTTGGGGGATCACATGGTTTGTGATATTTTTGTGCTTCCTGTGATCTTCATCAAGATCAAATTTAATCTGATCAGTGGGATTGCAGAATCTAGGATGTAGAATCTGTGTAGTTGCAAGATCCTGCTGTGCCCACATGAAAGACTTATTTTGTGGAAAAAATAAAAAACCAACCTAAGCCACTTGGAAAAATCCCTTGATCTTTGTTTCTTTTTTTGTTTTAACATGTCTTGCCTCTCGTTCTCTTTTCTGCACTTCAGATCTGCATTCATCTTATCTGACTCCTTGCCCCTGTTCAACCGGTTCTGATTTGACTTATTTACATACATACTATAATATTTAAACTCATAATATGCTATTTAAATTTAAAATGCAAATCAATACCGATTATTAAATAACATATGTACATATTTCTAAATCATCTAAAATTTGTTCAATATGATCATGAGGATATCATCATATATTATTTAACGATTATAATATTAAAGTTTCATTATGAAAAATGTTTTAGAATTTGATACTATCTTCAATCAATCATATATTTTGCAATAGTTTATGTATGTATATGTTTGAATGTTTTTCAATTAACATATTTGGATTGTAATTTGTTTTTTTTTAGGTATGGAGCTTATCTAGGGGAACACTACTAAGAAATATAGTATTCCCTTCAGTTATTGATTCCATTGCATTGGATCCAGCCGAACATGTCTTTTATGCTGGCAGTAGAGATGGAAAGATATTTATTGCCGCACTGAACTGTGAAAGCGTTGCTACTAATAATTATGGAATGCATATCGTTGGTTCTTTTTCTAACCACAGGTTGTCATTTGTTCTCTTGTTGTGTTTTTCAAATATGCATCAGCTTTTTTACTGTATTTCTCTCTTTGGGTTGCATATATGTTTTGTAAGATTGGATAAGTTAGTTGCACGCATGCCACACTCCCTTCTAGTTCACATATGGTAGTTTGTATTTGCAAATTACAATAGTATGGTTCTTAGAGAGAAATAACTTGGTACTTGGGAGCATTGAGCTTTTTTGTCAAGAATTTATGGATAACTTCGGTGAATAGAGTTCCTATAGAATTTATTTGTTAACTATATTGAATTCAAAGAAACATTTAGTCCCCATACTGATTACAATAAATGAGGAATTTGAGATCGTATATGTTGAAATTCTTAGTTTGTACATCGACCGGATTCCAGCTTATTAGGTTAACTTATTTCAAAACATGATTGATTGTTCATCACTAGTTATTCTTTTCTCTCAGAAAAACGATACAAACTGAGTTTTGTACCTTTTGAACAAAACATCAATCCATGTTTGAATTAAAAAATGGTAACTATTTTTCTTTAAAGCAATAGTAGTTTCTAGGCTTCTGGCTAAGATTGTCAATTGTGTGCCATTGTGGCAATCATGGCTATTGCCTATTCCATTGAAGCCCTTTGCATCACAACTTGCTATTGCACATGAAGCAGCACAGGTCACTACCTCTATCACAACCAGTCATGGTATACTAGAGGCAATGTTCATTAATGATTGAATTGAAATCCCCTGTTTGCCCCTCAACCCTGGGTTGTTTGATTTTTAATTTGGAGGACAATTTTGTGACTCTGCTCCCTTATTTGGGATTCAAAATTGAAACGTATTTGTGCCTTCTTTGTGTCTTTAAAAGATGACCCACTTTTCTCTGGTCAATTCCAATGTTTCTGATACCCTTCCTTGTGTTTCCATTGCTTTGTTCTCTGGCACTATGTCCGATGTTTTGTTGTGCTGTCTTTATTCAGTTCACTCTTTCGTTGTTACCTGCACTCAGGTATATGTATATATATTAATCTAACTTGTATTAATTTCTCAATAATGGAAATCATGCAATAGCAATTTTGGTGTCAGTGCTCTGCACAACTATCCTAGATTGATAATGAAGATAAATTACAAGCCCTTTTTTAGCAATCAAACTTAGTTGGTATTTTAAGGTCAATCTATTCACACATCCTTGGAATACTTTTCTATGTTTACTAATAAACTGACTAATTAGTTTTTAAATCCATATCTTCCACACATCTCAATGCCAAGTTGAAGCCATCGAGTAATGCTTCAAAATATATTGGAATATTTTGATTAGTAGAATTTATGCAGTAAACAAGTAAATGAACCATGCTTTATCCAACATTTTTTTATAATTTTTAGTTTATTTTGTAACATCTCACATTCGTCTTTGCTAGTGGTCATGTTAATTACAAAAAAAAGAAGTTGGTTTAAGCTACGCAGTTTCATTTAACTAGTTTTATTCCTCAATGTAACAGCAAATCAGTTACTTGCTTAGCAGTGGTCATGTTAATTACAAAAAAAAGAAGTTGGTTTAAGCTACGCAGTTTCATTTAACTAGTTTTATTCCTCAATGTAACAGCAAATCAGTTACTTGCTTAGCATATGGCACGAGTGATGATTTGTTAATATCTGGGTCAGAGGATGGAATGGTTCGTGTTTGGAATGCTCGAACTCGTAACATTGTCCGAATGTTCAAACATGCTAAAGGTATTGTATAAACTGTGAAATATGACCTATTGGCAGGAAGAGTTTTGATTGCATATCTATCTATGTTTAGTAATGCATATTTTGTGCTATTTATCATGAACTTTATTTCCAATGAATTTATGCTTTATCAATGCTCAAAGTTGTCTCTATCTGCAAAATTAGAATACAGTGATGACTGGCAATTTATTTGTGATATGGTAAAGCAACTAACGTACCATATGTATGATACCTATGTTTTCTGTGTGCGGACGAGCTTTTACTTGATTAGAAGAAGCACTGTCACCAAATTTTTTTAGTTATCAAGTAAGGACTCGGACCAACTTTTAGTATATATATTCAACTCCTATTTATATTTGCTGCTACTGAGCATTTCTTTTTTAAAACTCTTATTTTTGCCTAAATGCCTTTGATACGCGATGCATGGTAATTTAACTTGGATGAGGATACACTATTTTTTTTTTCTTTCAATATGTTCTGCATGTCAGCTTTTTACACGGTTTTTTTTTTTTCACAAATGACTTATCTCATGACCAAATCACCTTCATGAGGTGGTAGTATAAGATTAAATGTATGTTTCTAAATTGGGTCTGCTAAAATTTAATGTTAAGTATTGTGGATGCTGCAGGGCCTGTGAATAATATTCTCGTTGTTAGACGAGAAGACTCTAGAAATCACATATCTTCTAATGTACAAACATCATCAAGAAAGCAAGGGGCTAATTTACCCCCTCCATTGGAAAAATATGCAAATGCAATAGATGAATACTCAGATATCAAGACTATGATTAGCCTTGGGGATGGCAGGAGTTCCGTGGATCCTTCATACATCAGCTCTCAAGTGATATCTAATTATATTAAGGAACTTCAGGTTTGTCTATGAACTTGTCTTATTCAAGGATGGTCATTACATCTTTACAGTGATTTACGTTTGTTTTTAACCTGTCTCAGCATCAAGGTTCAGCTGCTTCTTCAGAAATGGAGACCGAGAAACTAAAACATGATTACCAAAGGTCAATGCAAATGGCTAATCAATGGAAGAAAATGTATGAAAACTTGAATCAATTTTGTGTAAAAGAGCTGTTGGATGATGGTCAAGCTAGAACCTTAGATAAAAATCAAAATTAAAACATATTTTTCTTGTCATTCACTTCTCAACTTCGAAGGTAGAATTTGTAGAACTCTGGGAGTTTGCAATGCTATATAAATTATTTTGACCCTCTGATTTGTTTCTTTTATATACATGTTAAAGAATGAATTATCCATGGCTACTGCCAACCTTAGTAAAAAGGTTTTGGCATGGATTCATGACTTTAGAACTTGGCGGATTTTTAATCAATTGATTTTGTTATTATGATTTAATAGGTTTTATATTGTGAACTAGGGCACACAAATGTAATGCGTAATTAGATATTTTCCATTTTTTTTATTCATAGTTTATCGAATCCATTTATAATTGAATTCATCTTGGCTTAAATATATTTTTAAGTCTTTATTAAACTCGGTTTTGATTCATGTGATTTTTTTTAACTATAATCCCTTCCAAATGTGAACCTATTATTAATTTTTATCCCAAAGTTCAGTCAAAATAAATAAATAACAGAATTAGAAATTTGTTTAGAACTATCAAATAGACATTTGAATTTTTTTAATCATACTAGCTGATGGAAATTGTCACTAGGAATATAGGCCAAAATAAAAAATTTCATTTTTGTGGGATGGAAACCAAACAAGTTTTGTTATAAATACTAAAATCAAAATTGATTAAATATATAGGTATAAAAAATACATGTAAGGTATCATTTATTAAAATAGAAGTGAATCAATTTATTTATTTTTGGATAATTAATTAATTATTTTTCATAATATAATGAAATTTATAATCAATGTTTAATGGCTTAAGCTTAATTTGAACTCTTCTTTTACAATAAGTTTTTTTTAATTCGTTAAAAAAAAACTTTTAAAACATGTTTCGCAAAGTATATTTTCGAAAACTATTTTAAAAATATATTTTAAAAATTTGGTTTTGAAAATAAAAATAACCAAAAATCTATATATTATTTTTTTCTTTACCATGCAATATTAAATCTAGTAATGGTGATTCAATTTAATTCACCAATATCCTTGTTGAAAATCGTGCGTTATCCCCCTGGACTGAAAATAAATTATCAAATGTTATAAACTTTTTTGAAACTTTCACCTAGTATAAGTGGGTTCTTAACAAACAGGGTTTAGGGAGTACAATTATTTATATAATTTTTACTTACGGACCATCTGTTTCATCACATCAAACAATTTTACTTATTTATTTTTTAGTACCTTATGGGATATTTGTTATAGACATTGGAATAAACTCATGTTTAACATGAAAATTACTTTTAATTTTTTAAATATTTTATTCTAATAATTCATCAAATTTATGCTAATCTAAATTAAATATTATATATAATATTTTTAACCAGATAATTAAATATATTAAAAAAATAGAAAATATTTTATATTATTTCATATTTCATATTTTTTTATTTTGTTTTATATCTTTTGTACATTCTCTTTTCCTAATATATATTATTTGCCCTCACCGGGGATGGTGTACAGATTCATAATGTACAAATCATATTTTCATTTTTACTTTTTCTGCTCCTTCTAATCATTTCTCTTCTGCCTTCGTGTATTGTGTAATGCTGTTTTTCAATTATTTATTTACATATATATTTTTTGTTTGTACAGATATCAATGAAATAATTAATATAAAAAAACAAAAAGGAAGTTATGCTATGTTCAATAAATATTATTTCAACTATATTTTTTCATAACACCAAAACCAGAAAGACTTTAAAATCTACCCACTCAATCAAAATAATATAATCTAATATGAAAATAAACTCATATAATAGTCAATGGTGAAAACAACAAGTGTCTTATAAAAATGTAATATTAACCTTCAAAATCTCAAATTCTTTTAATGATCGAAGTCAAAGAGGGACAAAGAAATAAATTTATTTTAAAATGTTTGCTCTTAATCCAGGTTTTTTAAGTCAATTCATATTATTAGTATTGAAAAGTGTATTACATATATATATATATATATATATATATATATATATATATATATATATATATATATATATATATATATAGAGAGAGAGAGAGAGAGAAAAATGGTAACTTTGTTTCAAAGTAAAAAAAAAAAAACATATTAGTCAATTTTAATGAAAAAAAAATGGAAATTCACCCGCTAGATGGTTGATTACAAATATGTTCGTATCAAACTTCAGTTACTAATGAAATAGATAAATTAATTTAATTAAATTGTGCATGTAAACATAACATTTGATTAAATACAAAGATAGATTTTTTTTTCTATTATATACATTATATTTTTGTTAGTCAACCTATTCTTAAAACGTCAATAACTAAACCAAATTTGTTTTTAAACAAAAAAAATCATATATTTACATTATTTGATTATAACTACGATATCCTTTTTATTTGTTTTGTATTATTATAAATTTATTTGTCGGCCACATTATTATCGTTTCATCATCATCATCTAATAATTAATAATGTAATAATATATATTATTCATTTTTTTAATAATTGCACTTGTAAAAAATGAAAAAAAAAATTATCCTCGTTTTGACATTTACACTTTATCACAAGTTTCATCTTATATAATAAAGGAAAAACATAAAAATTCTTTTAACATGTAACCATCTAAGTTTTAAAGGAAATATCACTAGCCTCCTCTATATATAATTTGAAAAAGGATCTTATGTGTGTCGGTTTATATGTCTAAACATTCTTATGGTATACTTTATAGATAGATTGTAGATGAATTGACGGTACATTATAATGTGATGACTATTATTACAATCCAATTCCTATTTTTAGTTCTTATTTTTTTAATTTTTAAAATTTTTGATGTATACATAACTGTCATTTTTTTGTTTTTCAAATAAAAAAACTGACGGTGAGAAATAAAAAATAAAAGCAAGAGTAAGATTTTGTTTTTGTAATTATTTTTTTTTAATTTTTTATCATTTGGGGTTTAATCTATCTCTTTGTTAAAAGGCTAGCAATAACAGTGAGTGTGCAATGGAATGAAAATTTGTAATTCCTGCTTTCGCATTAAGCAAACTCGAAAAGCAGCAACAAACTTCTTCTCCAATTCATCACCGCCCTTCAACACTATAAATAGCATAAACCCCCCTTACTACAGGTTCGTTTACTCAATTCCACTTCCTACGAAACTACACACTCACTCTTTCTCTCTCTTGATTCCCTTCGTAATGGCTGATGGACTCACGGTCCTCGCCGATGCTCTGTCGCCGTCGTCCTCCTCCTCCTCAGCCGACTTTCTCCAGAAGCTCCGCTCCGATGATGCCGTGCGGTTAGGTCTCAACGCCTTCTGCTCGGTCCTCCGCCACGGTCTCCAATCGTCCGATGACGGAACCTTGCGCTTCCTCTCCTGGAACGACGCACAGATTCACGCGATTTCTTCTTTCGCCTACGCAATCGCATCCGTTTCTCGATCTTTGTCAGGTACTCTTTTACGTGCAATATCACATGAACTTGTATTTCGTTGCGTTTTTCTGCTGTTATGCGATTTGGCTTGCGTGATCCTTGTTGTTGTGGCAGTTTACTGTTTTCAAATTAGAGAGATTTTAGATTCTGTTTTATATGTAACTATAGTGTTGTTCTCCAATCAGATTGGAGTTTCAACCCAGTAATCTAGGTGATTTGTGTGGAACTTTAATAGAAACATTTATTATGTAAGTTATGGAGATGAAACTATTTCAATTCTGATTAGAGAAAGCACCAAAAACACCTATCTAACTGCATCTAAGCTTTGTCTTGTTTTCCTTCCTCCTTTTGTTTTATTTCAAAATGATTTTTTTTTCAAGTTTTAACTATTGTTTGCTGTTGTGATTTTGTTGTTTGCATGAATAGTGGAGCAAGCCGACGGTGTGCTGGTTGCAATTGTCCAGCAGTCTATAGAATTTGCTCTCTGCTATTTGGAGAATTCTGGATTCGATAGTGACGAACTAGGAATTCAGGTATGTTTACATTCTTTGCAAATGCCAAGGTCTATAGGTTGGAAATTTAATGAAAGTAGGGTGCAGGCTTTATTGGATTTTCGGCAATATTTTTAGAGAAGTCTAATTTTGTCTCCAAATTCTCAAATGAGTCATAAGACACAATGAGATTAGAGAGTTATTATCTGAATGAAATTTAAATGTTATTGTACACGGCACATCAATGGCACAACTCTATTAAGTAAACAGTTGCCTAAATTTTTTTTATAAAGTTATTATTTAATCAATGTGACTCAATTAATTTTTCAATGTAAATAAGAATACATTAAAGAAGATTGGAAGCCATACAATAATGGGTAGGCTTTTCCCTCTGCAATTAATTCCGATGAGATTTGGCTGTTGTTGCACCTCTAGGATGGAGAAAGGAAAACAAAAATTAAGAAAGTTATGTGAAAGATGATGAGCAACCTCTACAGAGCAGAATATTGAATTATACTAAATAATACCCAAAACAGCATTGTTCCTTCATCTCACTGGATATTTGCCAAAAGTATTGTCTCAAGAATGAGTTAGATGGACAAAACTATAATAGATTAGGTGACAGCTTCTAAAGTCACCATATGTTCATTTAGCCCAAGTTGCCTTAAGCTTTCGCGAGATGTTGATGACAAAATTGTATAGCTGGCCCAGTTTTGTTGGTTCCTGCGTTCTACATCAAGATATAGTATGCTAATATATATATATATATGTATATATATATATATATATATATATTTATTTATTTTTTAACATCCCTGACTGAGTAAGCAAAAATGTTTGTGTTAATATATTTAGAACAAAGTACTGTTTGGGGGCATAGGATAAATTTATTTTCTTCATTATTAAGTGTTTTGACCTTTTTTTTTTTTGGTTAACATTATGGGTATTTTTTTTTTTATATTACTCATTGTTGTTGAATCTTCCAGAACAACTTGATACACGTTTTAGAGATGGCTTTGGTTGATGGAATAAATATAGTTGCAGACATAAACATCTTGCAACCTACATCTGCAAGTTCCTTGGTAGATATGTTGCCAATTGTTGATGATTGTTGTAGTAATTTTGTGAACGACTACAAAATATGCCACCTAGAAGGTAAAATGTTACTACCCAAAATCACTTAATTGTTGCCTTGCCATGTTTTTCTTCTAACCTAACCATTGTTCCTATTTTTTTTCTCATCTTTAAAAGGCTTCAAATGTTCAAAGGAAGACAAATCAATGGATTGGCTTCTGAAGACTTTGGCTTCTGAACGTGTGCCTCATGATAGACAAGAATCTGGATTCACTGAACAAACTTATAATCAATATTTCAATAATTTTCTCTTTCTATCCCAGCACTGGGCAGTTGTCCATGGGAAATTCACTCCTCGCTTGATCTTGCTGTGCAATAAGCTAGCTAAAGTAAAAGATGTATTGGATGAGAGGGCTGTGAGTCAAAATTTTCGAAGGAGACTGTCATTCAATTTGAGGATGTTAAAGATACTTGGAAGTCTTTTAAAGGATGTTCCGTATGTTAAATATGATGCCGTATTGATGAAGGCAGTTGCCACATTTTCTGATACTCTATCTAGTTTGTTTAGAATTAAGTTGGAGTTTGTGAATACCTATGCTACTTCAGAAGGAAGTTTTGATAGCATGATTTTAATGGTTATTGAAGAATTTCTTTTCAGTGTTCAGGTTATTTTTGGCAATAGCAATGTTGCCCAGAATATTCAAACATGTATTATAATAGCTATATTGGAGAGTTTGGATTCTTCTGTTTGGACATATGACCAATCTTCTCCCAATTTGAAGCCCCCGCTTGCTTACTTCCCCAGATTTGTTGTTTATACACTGAAGCTCATTAATGATCTGAAAAGACAGAGGCATCTAATTCCTTTTGAGTGGACAGACTTTGAGGAGGAACTTGTTGGCAGTTCTACTGACTCACAGATTGGTTCTGCTTCATGTCTTATTCATCTGGAATCTGTTCCTTTGCTGAAGGGATGTACTTTTGAAGAGCTTCTAAAATTGATATTTCCTGTGTCAAGCCAATGGATTACCAATTTGATGCAACTTGCTTTATTCCTTCATTCTGAAGGACTGAAATTAAGGCCAAAATTGGAAAGGTCCCAGTCTAGTTTGGCTAAAGTTGCTGGGACATCTGAAGTTGAAAATGCAGTATGCCATGAGGATGAGGCTCTTTTTGGGGATCTTTTTTCTGAAACTGGGCGATCTGTTGGATCTACTGATGGATGTGAACAACCACCTGTTACTGCTTTAGTTTCTAGTTCTAGCTACCAAAATATGCCAATGCAAGCTGCTATAGAACTTTTGAGCTTTCTCAAAACATGCATCTTCTCTGCTGAATGGCATCCTTCTCTTTTTGCTGATGCCTGCAACAAACTCAGTAGTAGAGACATTGATATTTTGCTTTCCCTACTCAATTGTCAGGGCTGTTGTTCTGAAGATAATATGTCTGATAGTTGTACCCCTTTACATGATGATGGAAAGATTGGGCATATTCATGATCTGTGCTTTGATCTTTTACACAACCTTCTCTTTAACCATGCTTTGAATGATTCTCTCGAAGACTACCTTGTGGATAAAATCCTAACTGTTGAGAATGGTTCTTTCTGTTACAATGACAAAACCCTGACCCTGCTTGCTCACACATTGTTTTGTAGGGTTGGTTCTTCTGGTAGTCAGTTGAGAACAAAGATTTTCAGGGTATATGTTGACTTTGTTGTTGAGAAAGCAAAAGCAATTTGCATAAAATGCCCTAGCATCAATGATCTTGTTGGTACTCTCCCCTTGCTGTTTCATATCGAGGTAGTTCTTATGGCATTCCACTTGTCTTCTGAAGGAGAAAAGGCAGCGATGGCAAAATTAATCTTTTCATCTCTTAAAGAAGTTGCAAATTCAACATTAGATTTTAACAGCAATCTGTTAACATGTTGGGCTTTAGTAGTTTCAAGGTTGATCTTAATTCTTCGTCATATGATATTTCACCAACAGACTTGTCCAACATCATTGCTCATAGATGTGAGATCTAAATTGAGGGAAGTTCCACTTTCTGGTTCATCCAATCCTAACAAAACTAATGATCACATGTCATCTTGGTCCTCAACTGCATTTAAAAACATTGCAGGTGGGTTGATTGGAGAGGAAGCTTTTGTGAGTAGCTTGATTGGACACCTAGTTGATATTTCTGGATCTTCTGCTTCTCTTGTTAGGGAAGATTTGGCAATTGTCAGCTTAGGTTTGAACTGGGAAGAGATCTATTTTACTTTTTTGTTGATTCTGGGATTTTGGAGAGGTAAAAGGGCTGCTGCAGTTGAAGATCTAATTGTTGAAAGATATGTTTTCTCCCTTTGTTGGGATATGCCTTATGTAGGCTTTGATGCAGAACATCCACTTATATCTTGGGATCAAGACCACCTGTTGGATCCATCCAATATGTTGCATTTTTTCCACTTCAGCCATTTACTCCTTGGCCATCCAGAGGGTATTGGGAAGTTGGCTATTTCTCCAAATGTTATATTGAGCCTGCTTCAGGATTTAAATGCTTTTTCCATACCAGAAGGCATTGAGCAATTAGATTGGTATTTCCTCAGAAGTGGAATGTGGCTGTCTCTAGTGCTCTCGTTCACTAATGTTGGCACATGGAAATATTACACAGATAATGCTATCTCTGGACATGGTCTAACCTGGACTGAGAATGCTTTGGGGGATGAGAAATATGTCGAACTTGCTGGAAACATGATTTCCTCCATGATTGAGTCTGGCCAATTTGTATTGTTTGTAAAGCTGTTCTCATCATTGCTGAACAAGTATTTACAAGTTTGTCAAAATGCATTCCTTGATATCCTTAGTAACAAACAAAAGCTGGCTTCTGGCTTTTCACCATTCTTGCTTCTGAAACATACTGAAATGGACCAAAGCCTGCAGGATGAGCTCTTGCAGAGGAGTGGTTCCAATGCAGGTGAGCTGCAGTCTATTCTTAGCCTCATATCAAGGTTGGAGGCTGTTCTTGATAAAAAAACTTCTGGAATTCTTTCTAAAGCTTCTTGGGAGTTCCTATTGCATGGTTTTCCTTTTAATCTCTCTGCTTCCAGTGCTACTATGTTGTCTTGTGTCCTTAGTATAAGGAGAATTGTCTTTGTCTTAGACAGCTTACTTAGAATAAAAGAAGCAGGAAGTAATATTAACTTGGAGGCCGAAGTTCTTGGTCAAGTTCTTGATGCAATAATGATCATCAAATATGATAGGATATTTGAAAGTGTCCATGAGCAATGTGACAGTATCTATCATAGGTTGGATGCTGAACTGGAATTGTCATGCTATGAAAATTTAATTCTAATGAAACAAATGGAAGGGTTTCTCAAGGATGTCAATGCTGGTGGAGCAAGTGATTGCACTGTTCGTGAATGGATAATCTCTAAAATTATTGAGATATTAAACAGTCAAAGAAAAGACCCTTCAAAGTCTGTTATATTTCATTTTTATCTTGGTGTTGAAAATGTGCCTGAGAAGATGAGTAGGGTTTTGCAGTTGCATCTTGGTGATTGCTTGGTTCTAATAGATTCGTTAGATTCGTGTTTCTCTGAATCAGTGAATGTGAAGGTTCTTGGTTTCTTTGTGGATCTTTTGTCCGGAGAGAAATTTCCTGACCTCAGAATGAAGTTACAAAGGAAATTTCTGGACAGAGATGTACATGGTGTATCTCAGTGGTTGGAGAAGAGGCTTTTAGGAAGCATAACGGAATCAGATTGTGGGGTGAACTGTGCAAATGGGAGCTCCATTTCTCTTAGGGAGTCAACAATGAATTTTATTCTGTGTCTTGTATCACCGCCCTCTGAACAACAATCAAAAGAACTTCAACAGCATATTTTTAATTCTGCACTGGGGTCACTTGATTCTGCCTTTTTGTTGTTTGATGTATATGTAGCAAAGTCTTTTTTCAATTTCATTGTTCAAATTTCTAGGGGAGAGTTTTTGATGAAACAGCTTTTGATGAGGACTGTAATGTTGATGGAGAAACTGGTCACCAATGAAAATCTGCTTCCTGGACTGAAGTTTCTATTTGGCTTTATTGAAACTGTGTTGAGTGATTGTGGATCTGGTAAAATTTCCTTGCAAAAGACTACTAATAAGTGTTCTTCAGGCAATACTCTTGGGGTAGGACATGCTTCTGCTCGATTGGTTGGATCCAGAAAAAATTCTGAAACATTTATTCTTTCTGCCAATCAAGAAGGGGGATCAACCTCTCTCGAATGTGATGCTACTTCTGTAGATGAGGATGAGGATGATGCAACTTCTGATGGAGAGGTTCTTAGCATAGATAAGGATGATGAAGAGGATGCTAACAGTGAAAGAGCCCTTGCCTCTAAAGTTTGCACATTTACTTCCAGTGGCAGCAATTTCATGGAGCAACATTGGTATTTTTGCTATACATGTGACCTGACTGTATCAAAAGGCTGCTGCTCAGTCTGTGCCAAGGTTTGTCATCGGGGTCATCGTGTTGTCTATTCACGTTCAAGCAGGTTCTTCTGTGACTGTGGAGCTGGGGGTGTGAGGGGTAGTAATTGTCAATGCCTGAAACCTCGGAAGTTTACTGGAGATAGCAGTGCACCTGTTCGTGGCTCAAATACTTTACAGTCATTTTTACCCTTTCCTGAGGATGGAGATCAGCTGCCTGACAGTGATTCAGATTTTGAAGAAGAAATCAGTTCAGATGCAGATAACTCTCTCAGGATAAGTATTCCAAAAGAGCTTCAAGAAGGGATTCCATTGTTATTGGAAGAACTTGATATTGAGAGTCGGGTGCTGAATCTTTCCTCTTCTTTGTTGCCATTTATACTTAGCAGACGAGATTCTCACCATTCCAGGGATAAGAAGATCAGTTTAGGTGAAGACAAGGTGATTTCTCATGGCATTGATCTCTTGCAATTAAAGAAAGCATATAAAAGTGGATCATTTGATCTCAAGATAAAGGTTGATTATTCAAATGCCAAAGAGCTTAAGTCACATTTAGCAAGTGGTTCTCTTGTGAAGTCCTTACTTAGTGTGAGTGTACGAGGTCGACTTGCCATCGGTGAAGGTGATAAAGTTGCTATATATGATGTTGGACATTTGATTGGTCAAGCCACCATTGCACCTGTGACAGTTGACAAGACCAATGTGAAACCTCTTTCCAAAAATATCGTCCGCTTTGAAATTGTACAACTTGCATTCAATCCTGTGGTTGGGAACTATCTTCTTGTAGCAGGTTATGAGGATTGCCAGGTCTTGACATTGAACCCTCGTGGTGAAGTGATTGACCGCCTTGCAATTGAACTAGCTTTGCAAGGTGCATATATTAGACGGGTGGATTGGGTTCCAAGTTCTCAAGTTCAATTAATGGTTGTGACTAATAGATTTGTTAAGATATATGACCTTTCCTTGGACAACATCAGTCCAATGCACTACTTCACTTTGCAAGATGACATGATTGTGGATGCAGTTCTTTGTCCGGCTTCCCAAGGTAGAATGTTTCTCCTTGTCCTTTCAGAAAATGGAAACATATTCAGGTTAGAGTTGTCAGTCAAAGGTAATGTTGGGGCTGTGCCATTGAAAGAACTTGTACAACTTCAGGGGAAAGAGATTCATGCAAAGGGATCATCATTATATTTCTCTTCAAATTATAAGCTACTCTTTGTATCTTTTCAAGATGGCACCACATTGGTAGGTCGCCCAAGCTCTGATGCAGCTTCTCTAGTTGAGGTGTCTTCTGTATATGAGGAACAAGAAAGCAATCTGCGGCCTGCTGGAGTACATCATTGGAAAGAATTGCTGGCTGGCAGTGGATTATTTGTTTGCTTATCAACAATGAAATCAAATTCTGCACTTACTGTGTCAATGGGGGAATATGAGATAAGTGCTCAGTGTATGCGACATTCAGTTGGTTCAACCTCACCTATAGTTGGTATGACTGCATACAAACCATTATCAAAGGATAAAATCCACTGTCTTGTTTTACATGATGATGGTAGCCTTCAAATATATTCTCATACCCCTGCTGGTGTGGATGCTAGTACGATTGTAGCTTCTGAGAAAGTTAAGAAATTGGGTTCTGGAATCCTCAATAAAGCCTATGCGGGCACAAATCCTGAGTTTCCTCTAGATTTCTTTGAGAAGACTGTGTGCATTACACCGGATGTAAACCTGGGTGGTGATGCCATTAGAAATGGAGATTCTGAAGGAGCTAAACAGAGTTTGGTAACCGAGGATGGTTTTTTAGAAAGCCCAAGTCCTGCTGGTTTTAAGGTATCTTATTATTTTAGTTACTTTGATTTCAAAGTGGAATAGTTATAATTGTTCTTCCTTGTGACATGCTCTGTTTTGTGGCTGGGGGGTCAACAACTTTCTAAATCAGATATTTAGGTACAGTGGGGCTTGCTTTTAGGTGTAGGTTGTTTGGTTATGGCCTTAATTTTATAAAACCAGTTCTCATTTGAAATAAAATTCTAAATAAAAGGTTGAGTTTTTTTATGCCATCATTTCAAATAAGATATGGTGGAGGTGACCACTCTTATGGTCAATAGGCATGTTCATATGAATGAATTTAATAAAGCATTTGGAATCCAATTTTCACCTGGTTTGTTTTTATATGGATTTTTGTATCTGGTTCCAACATGTACCATACCACTTATACTAGTTTAAAAATTCAACAAACACTCTGCAGATATTTTGTAATAATCCTTGTCTTCAAATTAAGACCAAAATGAATATCATAAGAATCTGGATCTTTTCTTATAATTGATGCTCCAAGGTAGAACTCCTATTCCTTTCGCTCCTTTTCATGTTTTAAATTTACCAATATGGGGGAGAATGCACATCATAATTTAGAAAGTTTGACCTGGACACCATCTCTGTGTTGCAAGGTTTTCTTATTTAGTTGTAATCAATAAAAAACTTCATAATTTTTTCTAGGTATTGGTTTTCTTTTATGATATGAATTATTTGGTAAAACAAATCTGATTTGTATAATTACATTTATACTATGGGAATACTAAAAATAATAGAAGGGTTGGTATGTTGTTGATGATGATTACATGGGAGGTGGTTTCACTTGTGTAGTTGCTTTTTTTGCTGTGTCTTTTGAAAGTGACTGATTATAGCCTTTTATCTTTCCTAATTTCTTCCTTAATGTATCTATACAGATCTCCATCTTCAATTCAAATCCCGATATAGTCATGGTTGGTTTTCGAGTTCATGTGGGAAATACATCAGCAAGCCATATACCATCTAGCCTTTCTATTTTCCAGAGGGTTGTTAAATTTGATGAGGGAATGAGGTCCTGGTATGACATTCCATTCACTGTTGCAGAGTCCCTTCTTGCAGATGAAGAATTTACAATCTCAGTTGGGCCAACCTTTAATGGCTCAACACTCCCTAGAATAGACTCACTTGAAGTTTATGGGCGAGCTAAAGATGAATTTGGCTGGAAAGAGAAAATGGATGCTGTTTTAGATATGGAAGCAAGAGTACTTGGTTCAAATTCATCACTTAGTGGATCTGGAAAGAAACGCCGATCAATGCAGTCTGCTCCTATTCAGGAGCAAGTAATAGCAGATGGGCTTAAGCTAATTACTAAGTTCTATTCATCCTGTAGGCAACAGGATTGCTCAAGGTTTGAGGAAGCAAGGACTGAGTTTGAAAAACTGAAGTGCAAGCCATTACTAGAAACAATTTTTGAATGTGACAGGGAACCAATTCTACAGGCTTCTGCTAGTCGTGTCTTACAAGCAGTTTTTCCGAAGAAAGAGATATACCATCAAGTAATCTATAGTGTCATTTGGTTCTCCTATACCTAGTCTGTTTTGTTATTATTTCTGCTTATAATGCTGTGCTAATTGTTACTGTCTGTAATTATCACATTAGGTTAAGGATACCTTGCGGCTTTGTGGAGTGGTAAAATCCTCCTCAATACTATCCTCAAGGCTAGGGATAGGTGGTTCTACAGGAAGTTGGATCATTGAAGAGTTCACCACCCAGATGCGTGCAGTTTGTAAGATAGCATTACAACGCCGTTCAAATTTAGCAACGTTTCTGGAGACAAATGGTATTGTTTTCTTTACTGAATGAATCTTAAAATGGATAAAAATTAGCTTTCTCTTGTTTATAGTTAAACACGCAGTGGGGACATAAGTAAAGAACAAGCATTGGTCAATATAAAAATCCATGTTTACTGCATGCTGAGTAATTGATAAGAATGATGTTTTATCTCCAAAGTCCTAAGGATTACATCCATGTTTACTGCATACTAAGATTAATGGTTCTCAAAATCATCTATTTCTTCCCACAAATATGTTTTTTTCCAAATCCTCAATCACTCATTATTTGTAATGGTATTTGACAATGTGACTTTGTCGTTTTAACACAGTATGAAATATACTGGAAGTTAAAATGAACTATTATATTGGTCCTATAGTAACGATGAACTTATCATGGTTCATGAAGTAGTCAAACCAATTGTTTTTTTGTTACAACAGAATGTATTTCCAGATTGTTCTTGTGGGAAATCAAATAGTATTTTAGGAAAGAATAAATCAAGAAATTTGTATATTTCCTTGTAATCTGTACAGATTTGAATAATTAAGAACAATCCCATAAATCAAGGGATCCTAGCATAAAATAGAGTTATTATATTTCCTAAAATAGCTTAGGTCTCCTGTATATATCTTATATCATCTCTTTGTATTGATATAATAATAAAAATCATATTTCAGTTAATCTATTTTTCTCAGATGGTATCAGAGCTTCCGATCTAGGAAGCTATGTCTGCGCGCGATAAACCCTAAGACGGCAGCTTGCATTGCTGCTGCATATTTCTTAACCCTAAGACGGCAGCCTGCATTGCTGCTGCATATTTCTTAACCCTAAGACGGCAGCCTGCATTGCTGTTGCATATTTCTTAACCCTAAGACGGCAGCCTGCATTGCTGCTGCATTTTTCTTAACCTTAAGACGGCAGCCTATATTGTTGCTGCATATTTCTTAACCCTAAGATAGCAGCCTACATTGCTGCTGCATATTTCTTAATCCTAAGACGGCAGACGGCAGCCTACATTGCTGTTGCATATTTCTTAACCCTAAGACGGCAGCCTGCATTGCTGCTGCATTTTTCTTAATCCTAAGACGGCAGCCTACATTGCTGTTGCATTTTTCTTAATCCTAAGATGACAGCCTGCATTGCTGTTGCATCACACCTCCTTGCTATGATGTCAAGGGAAGAGGAAGTTGTGAATCCAAACCTAGAAACAGGGAATACCCAATCCCAACAATCTGGAGAACTGCAGAATATTCATTCTGCATATAGACTAAATGGAAGAAATTATTTGAAGTGGGCCCAACTTGTTCGTATAGTGTTGAAGGGAAAGGGGAAGTTGAGTCACCTGATGGAGTCTGGACCTAAACAGGAGGATCCCAAGTTTACTACATGAGATGAAGAAGATTCAATGATCATGGCGTGGTTGTGGAATTCAATGATTCCAGAAATCGACGACACTCGCATGTTCCTTAATTCGGCAAAATATATTTGGGATGTCGTAGAGCAAACCTACTCTAAAGCCAAAGATGCTTGCTCAAGAATATGAAGTAAAGGTGAAAACTTTGGCAGACAAAACAAGGGAACAAGATCATTCATGGAATATGCCAATCACTGAAATCATTGTGGATGGAGCTAGACCATTATAGAGTCATAAAAGCCAAATGTATCGAAGATTCAAGCACTTCTCAAGGAGTATATCGAACAAGACAGAGTTTATGATTTCCTTGTTAGTTTGAATCCTGAATTTGATCAAGTTAGGATTCAAATATTGGGGAAGCAAAAGGTACCATGTCTCAATGAAGTGGTGGCTATTGTGAGAAGTGAAGAAAGTAGAAGGGGTCTCATGTTAGAGAGTCCAGCAGTAGAGAACTCAGCACTGGACCATAAAGGAGATCAAACTTTGGCCATGGTAACCGAACAGAAGAAAGGAGGATCAGCAAATGTGGAGAAGAAAGGTGATGGTCTCTGGTGTACCTACTGCAATAAACCTCGTCATACCCGAGAGAAGTGTTGGAAGTTACATGGGAAGCCTTTAAACCGAGATCGAGAAGGGGATACAAAGGAGGCTCCTCAAGGAAAGGAGGACAAGTTTATGTTATGTGAGTTGCTATGGCTTAAAATCATCTTAGAAGACTTGAGGATAAATTGGGAAGAACCTATGAAGCTCTATTGTGATAATAAGTCAGCAATCAGTATAGCCCACAACCCAATGCAGCATGATAGAACAAAGCATATTGAAGTAGACAGACACTTCATCAAAGAAAAGCTTGATAGTGGCTTGATATGCACTCCATATGTGTCCTCTCAAGACCAAATTGCAGACATTCTTATCAAGGGACTGAGTTGCCATAATTTTGAGAAGATTGTATCCAAGCTGGGAATGGAAAACATCTATTCACCAGCTTGAGGGGGAGTGTGGGAAATCAAATAGTATTTTAGGAAAGAATAAATCAGGAAATTTGTATATTTCCTTGTAATATGTACAGATTTGAATAATTAGGAACAATCTCATAAATCAAGGGATCCTAGCATAAAATAGAGTTATTATATTTCCTAAAATAGCTTAGATCTCCTGTATATATCTTATATCATCTCTTTGTATTGATATAATAATAAAAATCATATTTCGGTTAATCTATTTTTCCCAGAGTTCTGGTTCAAATTGATTTGATATGTCATGACTTGGATAGCATTGAAGTACTCCTCAAGGATCTTGAGTGTTATGTGAGGAAGCTATGAGCTAGTAGGATATTTTGTGTCTAGGATTTGAAGCAATCAGGAACCATAGTAATGCTGGTAGAGTTTTTTTCATTTGCATGATCTCAGATATTTGAGTCAGCATTTTGAGGGTAAAAATATTGTTTTTAAAGAAAATACCCACTTAATTTTAATTTATGAATGAGTTCTGTTGTCTTTGTACTGTTTGAGGTTCTAATGTTATGAATCAAAAGACTGGAGTCATTCTGTCCTGTGTGGACATATTTGTTCTCTTTCGACCATTCTATTATCATATGATGTGTTCTTTTTTCTGTATAGGCTCAGAAGTGGTGGATGTACTTATGCAAGTTCTGTGGGGAATTTTGGATTTTGAGCAGCCTGACACACAAACCATGAACAACATTGTTATGTCTGCGGTTGAACTTATTTATTGCTATGCTGAATGCTTGGCCCTACATGGAAAAGATGCAGGAGTGCATTCTGTGGCCCCTTCTGTTGTATTACTTAAGAAGCTTCTCTTTTCATCCAATGAGGCTGTTCAAACAGCTAGCAGGTATTTTGCTCACTTCTTTCTTCTTGTACTCTGAATTTTATATTCACATTTTACACATCTTTTTTCCTGCAGTTTGGCCATATCTTCGAGATTGCTTCAGGTCCCTTTCCCGAAGCAGACCATGCTGGCTACAGATGATGCTGTTGAGAGTGTAGTGTCAGTTCCTGGCTCTGCCGACTCAAGTACTGGAAATAACCAAATCATGATTGAGGATGACACAATCACTTCATCTGTCCAATATTGTTGTGATGGTTGCTCTACTGTACCTATACTAAGGCGAAGATGGCATTGTACTGTTTGCCCTGATTTTGACTTGTGTGAAGCTTGTTATGAACAAGATGCAGATCGACTTCGTCCACCACACTCTAGAGATCATCCTATGACAGCAATTCCGATTGAAGTGGACTCAATGGCAGATGGCACTGAATTTCACTTCACAGCCGATGATGTTAGCGAGCAGAACTTGTTACCTGTTCCTTCTGATAGCCACATGCGGAATTCTTCTCCATCAATTCATGTTTTGGAACTAAATGATTCTGGGGATTTTGCTGCTTCCTTAACTGATCCTGTCTCAATTTCTGCTTCTAAACGGGCCATAAATTCTTTACTTCTTTCTGAGCTTCTTGAACAATTGAAAGGATGGATGGATACAACCTCAGGAGTTCAGGCAATCCCTGTTATGCAACTTTTCTACAGATTGTCATCTGCTGTAGGTGGACCTTTTATAGACAGCTCTAAGCCAGATAGCTTAGATTTGGAGAAGGTAATTAAGTGGTTTTTGGATGAGATTAA